AGTGCTGGCGCGCGCCTGAAAAATGTGAGACCAACGCTGATGAGCGTTATAAAAGTACATCGGTGCTGGCGAGCGCTTGAAAAATACAACACCAACGCTGATGAGCATTTGAAAAGTAAATCGGTGCTGGCGAGCGCCTGAAAAATACGACACCAATGCTGATGAGCGTTTGAAAAGTACATCGGTGCTGGGGAGCGCCTGAAAAATACGACACCAATGCTACGGAGCGTTTGAAAAATACATCGGTGCTGGCGAGTGCCTGAAAAATACGGCACAAACGCTGATGAGCGTTTGAAAAATACATCGGTGCTGGCGAGCGCCTAAAAAATATGACACCATCGCTGATGAGCGTTTGAAAAATACATCAGTGCTGCCGAGCGCTTGAAAAATACAACACCAACGCTGATGAGCGTTTGAAAAGTACATCGGTGCTGGCGAGCGCATGAAAAATACTACACCATCGCTGATGAGCGTTTGAAAACTAAATCGGTGCTGGCGAGCGCTTGAAATTTACGAAACCAACACTGATGAGTGTTTGAAAAATATATCGGTGCTGGCGAGCGCCTGAAAAATACGATACCAACGCCGATGAGCGTTTGAAAATACATCGGTGCTGGCGAGCGCCTGAAAAATACGACACTAACACTGAAAAGTGTTTGAAATATATAGCAGTTACCTTTCATATTACGAAGAACAACAAATTCTACGCTTCGACGTCACACACATACACAACTCAGTTCTTCCTCCACTCTAAGATCACTTATTTTGGAGTATTAGACCCAACCATCGCCAAAGTTACTTATGAAAAATGTGGTGTCTATATAGAAACTTTGTATAACTCTTTATACAAACAGATATACAAAGGAGGGCAACTGTAAACACCACATTTTGTCTGGATTTCGACCTCTTAGATATCAAACTTTTTCAACGATCTAAAGTGCAACATGTTTAGAATTATCTGCAAACAATGACCAAGTTGAGAATTGAGAAACATCACAGTTTGAGTTTTCGTATTAGAGGATTTGATCAATGAGAAGATTTCTTCAATGTTGGAAGCCAAGGATGAAAAGAATTCGTTCACAAATTTGAAGTCTATTACAATCGTTTAACGACACTTGACTCACTCCTACTGTCACTCTAGAAAATGGCCAAATGTAACCACTTCCTAAAGCGTAGTATAGCGGGTTTGGGTTTTAATGTCAACCCGGGTCCTAGATGTGATGACTACTCAGCGAATTCTTATTATTTAGCGGTGAAACTTTAGTGCAGGTTCAAACAAGCAAGCAATTAAAAGGTTGTTTCAAGTCGAGAGAGGTCACCCGGATATGGTTCCCCCTAGACTGCTGTTAAGCGGGATTGCAATTTACCAAGTTCAGTTTCTATGATAGTTATACTGCAGGAGGTTCTTAAGCAGTATGAAGTCCCGACTAAAGGTCTCCAGACCCTCTCAATCTGAGTCCCCAGCGGGCAACTAACCTCCACCGGAGTAAACAGATTGAGGCCCTAAAGAACGAAACCTCCACTACCGAAGTAAATTCGGTACAGAATAGTGAATTGGCTTCTCGACTAAAGTCGCCAATTCACTACCTTCAATTAAGGGTGCTCTATCAACCTAGGCAGATATTCTCTTTCTAGGTTAAAGCAGAAACAACGGGAATTTGATCAGGATTCAAGTCATTCAATCATTCAAGCCTCAATTGAATATAATGAAATCATAAAATCTGTACTTGGGTTCATACAATCAGACCTAACATACAAATTTAGGGTTCTCCATACCCAGATGAATAAGAAAACTAATCCATGGAGAGAGAAGCAAAAGCAGATTCAGATGCGGAAACCATACTGTGAAGGATGGGTTTCTGCTCCTGGTCGTCAATCAGCACTTCTCCAAGCTCAAGCCGGGCTCCAATGGTGATGAAGATCAAGCTAGGGCACTTCGGAACTCTGGTTCGTCACTTTCTCTCTCTAGGAATCGCTCTGTCTCTCTAAAACTCGGAACCCCTTCTCCTTTGGCTCAAATCTGCCTAAAAGGCCGACCCTGGGAAAAACACGGTTGAGGGCACGACCGTGCTTTGGTTTTGCCCGCCCGTGTTTTTCCCCGTGTTAAAAACACGCCCGCGTCAGCCAAAACATGGTCGTGCCTAAATATGGACACGGGCGTGTTTTGCTTTAGGCCAGCCCGTGTTTTTCTTTTCCATAAGTTCAGCTCTCGGCAATAAAAATACTGGCGTGCCTGTTTGTGTACACGACCGTGTTTTGGTTTAGGCTAGCCCGTGCTTTGGCCCCAGCTCGACCGAATTACTTCCAAATGCCCCGAAACTCGTGCTTAGCCTTTCCTTCGACGTCTGGGACCTAAAATATGACAAAGTAGCACAACCCGGCGTGAAACGGGCCAAAAATACACGATTACTCGCCGCAAACGGATAAGAACTAAGGGTGCAAACATGTGCGAATACATCGCTATCAAATTCCCCACACTTAACCGTTTGCTTGTCCCCAAACAAACCTAACTCAAACCAATGCAACTCTCCAGACCTCTATAGCAACAAACAACCCCGATCATCGGTAGAGAATTTTCTAGATCATTACGCAGCTTACGAGGTCAACTGGTCTTCTAAGACGTCCCCTATCTCTCTCAATGCGAGTACTAGACTCAAGCTAGGATCATGAGAAGAAGTAGAAGTAAGACAGTCAGTTCATGGATAAAGGGACTCACACCATTCACAATCAAGGACTCGCGATACCAGGGTACTCTTTCACTTCATTTCCCCGTTGGAACCCCTTTTTCACTTTCATTTTACTTTTTTTTTCTTTTTCATTCACTTGGCGGGGGTTCCAACTGCAGTCTCTTACACGGTAGACCCTTATTAGTCGAGTAAAAGCAATTTCTGTACATCTGGCGCTCGCCAGAGTACTTCTTTTAACTCCTTTTCCTCAACTCGTGTGGAGGGTCAATGAAATTAAGGGGGGTCGGAAGCTCTATCCATGCCCTTAAAAACACATCCTCAAGTAGGGAAACCGTTCAACGGGTGGAAGTTTTCCTTGTACTAGAGATAACTTAGCTTCACCTTGTAGGAGTACCCCACTAAGGATCACTAAAATCTCTTCCAAAACCCAATTTGGTACAATGAACGGTGCCGCACACGTTGGGCTTACCCCATGTTTAAGATTTTGATGATTTTGACATGGAGGACCAACTGCATTTTTTATTTTCCACATGAGCACCCTATTCGATACACGAGTTGATAACACAATCCACTTATAGTCACCATTATCACATGAATTCAACGGTCCTAGCTCCACTAATTCACAAAATCAACTGGCACAACAGAGAGCTAGATAGGAAAAATCTTATACTTCAACATACTCCATAGTGCTACACTACCTCCCTAGGTTGCACATTACTATAGAAACTGTCAATTCAAAGCATACTGAGCAGGCAAATTGCAAGGAAACACGTACTTGGAGCCCTCAAATTTAAAAATTTGGACAGTGGACTAGGCTCCAAGCACACAAACAGATCTAATGCAGTCAAAAGAGAAACATCCCCCCCCACACTTAAGATCGACATTGCCCTCAATGGAGAAGAGGGAAAGATAAGGGGAACGATGTTACCGGTGTGCACGGACTACATGAGACTGGAAGTGGACCAGTCTGAGCGAAGAGGACAGGAGAGGGGACCAGTCAGGGACAAAGCAGAGCTAAAGGGAACAGAAGAACTCAAACACAATATGTTAGGCCCAATGGTCAGCCCAATAATACATCATCCAAAACAAAAGAAAACAAACCAAAACTTAACAAGTTTACAATCTGACTCAAAACAAAAGAAATAAATGAAAACCGTGGTGGGATTGCCTCCCCACAAGCGCTTCTTTACCATCTTTTAGCTGGACGCCCATGGTGGATACTCAGTGGGGTGCAGGAGAAGGTGCCTCCAAGAGTGGATCCACTTCGCTCTTGAGGTACAGCTTCAGATGGTGACCTTGCACCCAGCGGGTGCGACCACCAGCATTGGTCAGCTCGACCTGTCCATCCGGCAAGATGCAGGCGAGTGAGTACTCAGATGGCCAGGGTGGTCGTGGTGTAGGAGGTGGAACCAGCTCATAGTGGTCTCCACCTTTCTTCCGTGCAGGCTTAGCCACCTGCTGCTTCGGCCGCCACTCCTCTTTGATCTTTTGTTTGGTGGTGAGGTTGAAGGGAGTGGCGGCGCAAGCGTGAGAGGAGGATCCTGCAAAACGAGATGCACAGGGGGGTACACGACAGGCTCGTGTACCTGGTGAGAAATAGCATGCATAGGTTTGATAACAGGCATATCACAATGATCTGGGTCAGCCACAGAAATAATAGCCTATTCATTCCCAGCACGCAAGATCAGTTTACCAATATGCACATCAATAAGTGCCTTGGCGGTGGCAAGAAATGGTCTACCCAGAATCAAAGGCACATCCACATCCTCATTTATATCCAGAACAACAAAATCAACAGGATATGTGAATGCGCCTACTTTAACAAGCAGATCCTCTATGATACCCCTAGGATGCACAATAGAGCGGTCAGCTAACTGAATGCTCATCCTAGCAGGTCTAGCTTTTTAAACAGATTGTATGGCATGACATTTATGCTAGCGCCTAGGTCCTCCAAGGACTTCCCTACATGCATCCTGCCAATATTAAGAGGGATAGTGAAACTCCCTGGGTCCTTGTGCTTTTCGGGCAGCTTGTTCTGCAAGATGGCAGAACACTCCTCGCTCAGCATCACTATCGAAAGATCCCCAAGTTTATTCTTGTTGCTGAGGAGATCCGTCATGAACTTGGCGTACTTGGGCATCTTCGACAGTGCCTCTATGAAGGGTATGCTGACAATGAGCTGCTTCAACATTGCCATGAACTTGGCAAACTCAGAGAATGGGGGAAGAGGTGAAGGCGGATTGCGTCATCAGGGACACCGTTTAGCTTGAATCCGTTCGTCAGCTGCAGAAAACGGGAAAGATGCACCCTCGCCTCCTCATCCTTCAAGCCATGGAACTGGATAGAGGATGTAATGAGTTGAATCCAGCAAGGCTGGATCTTAAAGTTGTTCGCTGGAATGGGCGGATAGAGGATGACAGGGCGGATGTCAGCAATCCATGGAGTGTAAAAGTACTCCAAGGTGGGACCCGGCGGCGGTTGATGATAATGAACCCCATCTGCCTGGGGTATGGGGTTGTTCCCCAAGATCTGATTCGCCGGGGGAACCTGGTGAGGATTCCCCTAGTGTGGATTGTGATCTCCTTCCATCTCGTACTTGTCCTCGGACTCGCTGCTCAAATAGCCGTCTATGCGCTCCTCCGTAGCCAGTCTAGCTCGCTGTTGTCTCTTAAGTTGGCGACAGGTGCGTTCAAGCTCTGAATCCAACGACAGTAAATCTCCTGACTGGCTACGGGTCATGCACTACCTGCACACAGTCAAGCAGCAAATCCGTGAAGGAACAAGTGGGACAAAGCAAACAATGCAAAAAGAAAAGCTAAATTAACAGAATTCACGTTTCTTCAACAACCTAGCCGTCCCCGGCAATGGCGCCAAAAACTTGACTCACTCCTACTGTCACTCTAGAAAATGGCCAGGTGTAACCACTTCATAAAGTGTAGTATAGCGGGGTTGGGTTTTAATGTCAACCCGGGTCCTAGATGTGATGACTACTCAGCGAATTCTTATTATTTAGCGGTGAAACTTTAGTGCAGGTTCAAACAAGCAAACAAGCAAGCAATAAAACGGTTGTTTCAAGTCGAGAGATGTCACCCGGATATGGTTCCCCCTAGACTGTAGTTTAGCCGGATTGCAATTTACCAAGTTCAGTTTCTATGATAGTTATACTGCAGGAGGTTCTTAAGCAGTCTGAAGTCTCGACTAAAGGTCTCCAGACCCTCTCAATCTGAGTCCCCAACGGGCGACTAACCTCCACCGGAGTAAACAGATTGAGGCCCTAATGAACCAAACCTCCACTACCAAAGTAAATTCGGTACAGAATAGTGAATTGGCTCCTCGACTAAAGTCGCCAATTCGCTACCTTCAATTAAGGGTGCTCTATCAACCTAGGCAGATATTCTCTTTCTAGGTTAAAGCAGCAACAATAGGAATTTGATCAGGATTCAAGTCATTCAATCATTCAAGCCTCAATTGAATATAATCAAATCATAAAATCTGTATTTGGGTTCATACAATCAGACCTCACATACAAATCTTGGGTTCTCCATACCCAGATGAATAAGAAAACTACTCCATGGAGAGAGAAGCAAAAGCAGATTCAGATGCGGAAACCATACTGTGAAGGATGGGTTTCTGCTCCTGGTCGTCAATCGGCACTTCTCCAAGCTCAAGCCGGCCTCCAATGGCGATGAAGATCAAGCTAGGGCACTTGGGAACTCTGGTTCGTCACTTTCTCTCTAAAACTCGGAATCCCTTCTCCTTTGGCTCAAATTTGCCTAAAAGGCCGACCCTGGGCAAAACACGGTCGAGGGCACGACCGTGTTTTGCATTAGGCTAGCCCGTGTTTTTCTTTTCCATCAGTTCAGCTCTCGGCAATAAAAACACTGTCCTTCCTGTTTGTGTACACGGACGTGTTTTGGTTTAGGCTAGCCCGTGCTTTGGCCCCATCTCGACCGAATGACTTCCAAATGCCCCGAAACTCGTGCTTAGCCTTTCCTTCGACGTCTGGGACCTGAAATATGACAAAGTAGCACAACCCGGCGTGAGACGGGCCAAAAATACACGACTACTCGCCGCAAATGGATAAGAACTAAGGGTGCAAACATGTGAAAATACATCGCTATCAACACTACAAAATTCGGATTTGCATACACTACTCAACAATCCCTAATACAATGGGCTAAGTTTTGATTTGTATCCAAGCTTGGCCCATCACAAGGAAGCCCAGATCAGCAGCATGCAAAACAAAGAAGAAATGAAAATCAGCCCAGTTTCAGTCCATAGTTCAAAGACAGATCAAGCCCAGAGCTAGGCCCAAATTCAAATATGTCCAAGCCTACTTCAGCCGAGACGAAGAAGAGCACTCCAGGCCCAATTCGGCCAATAAGTTGAAGCTGGAGGGACTGGCCCAAACTTGGTTCAATCTTATCCAACATCTGTCCTTACCAGTCAGAACCGACTAAGCAAGGTGGAGGCTTCAGAAGCAGCGTTGAGGATCAACCAATCTAAGAGAAGCATGTCATGCTCATCATCAATCACAGCATGACACGTGGCACGCAATTCTTACTATAAATGAGCTCTTTGGGCTCTGTATTGAGAGGGGGGGAACGGGAGAAATAGTGATAGTGACAAAGAAATACTTTTCCTTTCTCTTTTGAAAATTTCCATGTTCAAGGTTGTAATAGTTGACGAACGAGGAGTCAGATCCAAAGTTGACTATCAGGTCGGTGCTTGTAAACACAAAACTTCTTTATTATTGAATGATATAGCATTTCTCAAGAAGTTCTTGTCGAATCCAATTCTTGTTCCCATTTGGTAGAATGTTATTTTATTTAAGCTATTTCCTTAAAAGCTTATTATTCACAGCCATTTATATTACTGCTATGCGTTTCGCTTAAGCACTTCACTATTCGGATTAAGCTCATTTCAATTAAGTATTTGATTTTCTTATTTCAACAATTTTTATGCTACTTTAAATTCCCGTCATGCTTTCATATTCTTTTTTTAGAATATAATAGAAAAACATTAGAATCCCATCCAAAATCGAAGCAGCTCTGCTGAAATAGGCTAAATCCATTTTTCTAGAAGTTCATGGTTCTGGTCTAGAGCCAAATCCAACGATCGCCATACCTCACTAAAATTTCAGATTCATAAATCCTTGTCGGTTTTCAAATCACCCACCAATTCTAATCTAATAATAACCACAAGCAGTAGCAGTGATTTAGAGTCCATGATTTTAGCAAAATCACAAGCAGTAGCAATGATTTAGTCCATAGTATAGTAAAATCACTAACAGTGGCAATCGCCAAGATAAGCAATTTGGAGCATGTTAATTACATCTCCATTACAAAAAAAATCATTTTCGTCAATTTCTAGTATATCAAAAGCTACATAAAAAACCATCGAAAAACCCATAAAATCCTAATCAAGCCAATAACAATAAGATTAGTGAGAACTTTAGTTTCTTTTAGCTTAATGACAAGCAGTGGTGATCATTGGCTGGCTTCTAATTCTTTAACTACCTTAATTCTTTAGTAGCTTGATTCATAGAGTAAAAAAATCAGAAGGCATACACAACCATATTTCCTAAAATCCATATCTGTAAAGTATATCTAATCCACCACCAATAATCTAGTTTTGAGATTAAAATTCCTTAACCATACTAAACCGAGGTTAAGAGAACCTCACCTACATCCGTCCATTTTCATAATCTGCGTCAAAACAAGAGTAGAGGTTAGATCCGACCCAGATCAAAATTAACAAAAATATAAAATTACAAGAGAAAAAACTCACCAAGACCCCCACTGCCGTCAGATTCCGGCAAAGGCCGAGCCATCGGCAGCTTTCGTTACTCCCTTCCATCGGTAGAAGCAGAACGAAAATATAGAAAACAAAAAACAAAAATGGAGTTAAGATCCCGATCTAGTACGGAATCAATTAAAAATGCACTTGCATAGAAAAAAAAGAGCTTACCAGAGGGTAAGATCTCCCCGTCGTCGCCTCCTTTCCAACTAGAAAGGGTAGATCGAAGATTAGTAGAAGGTAAATCAAGAGTCCACCCTCGATTTTGGGCCGAATTCCGGAAAAAATAAACAAGAAACATGGTTAGAACCTCGAAAACCAGGAAATCAAGATATGAAAATGGTAAAATATATTGCTTGCAAAACAGAAACGAACCTTTAAGGTCCCCTCGTTGTCATCGCTGGCGGCGCCTCCCCCCAGTCGCCGCCGGTGACGCCGTTCTTCTTTCTCCTTGTCGTTTCCAAATCGAATAGGGGAGAGGGCTCGTCGGTTTCCCTTTCTCGGATTAGAGAGGAAGAACGCGAGAGGGAGAAGAAAATTGAGAGGGGGGCTATTTGATTTGATTAGGGTTTTTTTAGTTTCTTCTGGAAGAGGAGACGAGAGAGAGGTGAGAGGGAGAGAGCTGAGAGAGAACGAGTTAGAGAGAGAGGCGGCGGCCGCTCGGTTAAGGAATAGTTTTTTTCTTAGAGATTATTTATACCTCTTGCTTCTGACTGACCATATTACCCTAGGATTTCTTGATATTTACGCGGCCCTGCCACCACATGTTTAGGAAGTTACGAAATTGTCCTTCCCCCTTCTCTGCAATAAAACGGAAGATCATAAACTAGTCAGAGTCAGCGAGTTTCAAACCGTCATCTGCGGGATTGGACGCGCTATACGACTGCCGCTTTAGCCAGTTGGGCCGCACGCCCATCATGCGTAAATATAATAATCCCGTTTTATTTTATTTGTTTAAAATCCTTAATACGAAATGTTGAATGCAGATTAAGTTTATCTTGTTTCTTTTCTAATACGTCAAATTACTTCTTAATAGTCAAAATCCTCGTGTTCTCTTTTCATATCTTCATAATAAATCAGCTTAAATCTCATTAACAAAATCTTCAATAATAGAACCACGATCGGTAAAACCATAAATTAATATGATAAAAATCTTTAGCGGTCCAGTGGGACCCTATAAATACCAATGATTATTAAAAACACCCAACTCAATAAAACTTATCGACTTAAGTATTACAAATTAAGGGCGTTGTGGGGGTGTTGCTTAAATTCCCCACACGTAGCCGTACTCCCGAACCTAGATTTCTATATCGCAGACCAAGCCTCGGTTCTGACCCTAAGGTCAGAGCCGACAGAAGAGTGTTCGATTCACTCCAAGTAAGATCGATGGCGACTCTAAAAGAGAACGTGACCCGACGACCCCCCGAGGGACGGTTGCGACAGATGGCTGGGGGAAAAAACAAAGTGACACTGACAATGCAACGTTTTGCTTGTGAAAAGAGAAGTTTGGATGGGAGGGATTTCAAATAGGGTTAAGTAATTTGAATGAAAATGGCGTTGTTTTGGGGACAGGCAGGGACGGGGCGGATACGGGATCCATCCCCACCCGTTGCCGCTACTATCGAGTTTTGGCCATACCCGAATCCGCCAATTACCCATGACAGATGGTTTTTTTGACCGCCATTTGTGCGGGTTTCGAATGAGTATTCGGCGGGTCAGGAAGGGTTGCCATCCCTAGGCCCAGTTAGTGTGCTATGAGGACATGCACACAAAAAACCTCATGTGCACCATAGTGAAATTGCAAATCGAAACCTAATTCCTTTTTCTCAACTCTCCCTTCACTCTTTCACTTTTTCCCTAGTATTAACAAGATTATGTTAGTTAGTTATTACTTAGTAGATGTATCAGAGTCAGAGAATAATGATTTAAATTATATTATTATCTATCTTATGAATTAATGGATGTTTTAGGATAGGGTTAATACCTTAGTTTCGTTCGAACATACACAAACTTTCTACATTGGCCCGTGGTTTCCAAAATTTCTCTTTTGGCCCGAACTATGTACTATACTTCCAAATGTGGCCTGGAGCCGAATTTGACCGTCAAATTGGACGGTCAAGTCCATTGACCATTAGTCAATGGCCAGCTCACTTGCCATGTCAGCAAACACGGAATAAAATATTTATTTTTTGAATTTTTGGGAAGAAGAGCTCACTTTGCTTTGGTCGCCATCAGAATAAAAAGGTGTTTTCAAGATCTGGGAATCTAGATCAATCGCGAACAGGTCGAGAGAGAGAGAGAGCGAGATTCTAAGCTTTTTTGCTGTTTTGAGAGAGAGAGATAGAGAGATGATGAGTTTTATGTCCGACAAGTAGGGGAGCTAGCATCGTAAAATTTGAAGGCGAAGGAGGTAGCGGTTCATTGCCGGCGACATCGGTTCGCGATTGATGGTGGTTTGAGAGTCCATTGATCATCGTCTCGGTGGTGGTTTGGTTTACCCTTGAAAATAAAGTCTCTGTTGTCTTTCGCTTCCAAAAATCCCCCATGGATGCTCTGCTTCAAGAAAACCCCAACTCCGCCAACCCTTTCAAGAAAGCTTTTTGATCATCGATCAAACCAAAAAGCTCAATCGAGCTAAGCGTCCAGTCCTCTAAACACCCAACTTCAAGGCAATTTTGCTGTAGATCCACTCATCATCTTCTATTTATTCATCTCCCAAAAACCCTCACTAGCTCACCAAATAGCCAAAACAAGAAACATACATGTACCTAGAAACAACATAGAGCAACGTTTTGGAAACAATCACCACCCTCCGGCAGCTGGACGTCTCCGTCTCCAAAGTCGGCGATTTTAGGGTTTTGGCCCATTTATGTACATATGTTTACTCTGGACCTTTTATGTTTTTGGACGTGGAGATTTTGGGGTGTTTGGGACGTGGCTGAAGGGTTAGAGTGCATGGGCATTAGGGTTGCATGGGTATATATATGCATGTCGTATGATGTAGCCGCACAACTTGAATTGGTGATAATAAGATCTCAGCTCGGAGAGGCCATCTCTCCCGTGGACTAGTCCCGAATCTCGGGGATACCACGTATATCGTGTGTGTGAGTTATTGTTTTCTGTTCGATCAAGCTCGATTTCTTAACATGGTATCAGAGCTTTCATCTGGCGATTCCGTTCGTCTTGCTTTTCGGCTGAACTCCAATAATTATGTAGTGTGGGAGTTCTAGTTTCGTGTGTTTGTAGAGGGCAAGGGCCTCCTTGGTTGGATTGTGGCTCATCGGAGAAGCCTGCTGCTATGTCACCTGCCGCGGACATCACCAAGTGGAACCAAAGCGATGCTCGGGTCAGGTCTTTGATTTTGGGGTCGGTTGATCTGACTATTATTCTTGGCTTTCGGTTGATGAAGGATGCTCGTTCTATGTGGAAGCAACTGGAGACTACGTATTCGTCCAACAACATGGCGCACATTAGATCATCTAGAACAAGGTGATCGTGACGTCTCTACATATTTCAATGATGCCTAGCAGTTGTGGACGTAGCAAGACTTACTCACCGCCGCCTTGTGCTCCAAGGAAGCCTTGGAAAAAGTTATGGAGGAGCGGCGCTAGCAGCGTCTTCTTTAGTTCTTGATGCGGCTGCGCCCCGAGTTCGAATCTGTTCGATCTACCCTCATCAATCAGGATGAGATCACCATGGATGGAGTTCTCGGCAAGCTCCTTCGCGAGGAAACCCGCATTCATACCCAAGCGAAGCTGAACACACGTCCTGGCGAGGGTGATGTTGTCTATGCCGCGCCTTCTGGATCGTATGGCCTAGAGAGATCAGGGGACCACGCTTTTGCTGTGGGATGTCCTCACTTCCAACAGCGTGTACCTATGTCAGAGCTCGAATGTCACCATTGCCACGTGAAGGGTCATCTGCAAAAACATTGTCGTCAGCGCAACATTTGTGTCTATTGCAAGAAACCGGGGCACATCGTTTTGGACTGTCCCTCTCTTCAAAATCGTAGCCGATCTTCTGCAGGAGCTCGTTCGATTCCGCCTCACGCTGGGTCCTCCTCTCTTCCAGCTTTTGTCGCGCAGCAATCTCAGCCATCTTCCAATGGGTTTGTGATCAGTCCTGAAGCCGTTGAGGACCTTGTTAATGCAGCTTTACAACGCTCACTCCCTACCGTGTTGAGCTCAGCCTTCGCCTCCCTTCAAACATCAGGTATTCTCAAACCTTGGCTGCTCGATTCCGCGTGCTTTAACCACATGAAGAGTGACATTTCTACGCTTAAAAATGGTGTGCCGGTTAGAGACATGACTCTATAGGTTGCCGATGGGGATCGATTAGGAGTTACGGGTATTGGGCATGTCACGCAGCCTCCTGCCACTCTTCCTAATACTTTGTGTGTCGAATTTATTTCCATATCTTGTTTTGGTTGGTCAGCTCATTGAACAGGGTTACCGGGTTGTATTTGCCCCTTCCGGCTGTGTTGTGTAGGAAGAGAAGACGTGGAGACAGGTCGGGCGTGGGAGTAGACATGGTCGTGTTTTCCATTTGGAGGAGCTCTCGAATTGGTCATCAAGCAGTCAGTCGGTGTCTAGGTCTTCTTCGGGTTCTGTTTTTTCATGTTCGGTCTTTTGGAGTCTTTCTGATCAACAATTGAATCTTTGGCATTCACGCCTGGGTCATCCGCATTTAAGTCGGCTTGTATCGATGGTCAAACTTGATCTTTTTGGTACTAATAAGATGATTGATAGTTCCCTAAACTGTTGTGTACCAGTTGTGTTGCTGCTAAGTCCACTCGGAAAAGTTTCCCTTCTAGTACTACTATCATTCAAAATTCCTTTCATATAGGCCATTCTGACCTCTGGGGTCCTTCTCCCGTCGTTTCCAGGCATGACTATCGCTACTTTGCTCTTTTTGTGGATCATACTACTCATTTTGTTTGGGTGTATTTTCTTTGTCTGAAGTCTGATCTTTTGGCTGTTGCTACTGAGTTTATTGCATGATTAAAACTCAGTTTGGAAAATAGGTTAGCATAGTTCGTTCAGACGAAGGGGACGAATTTATCTCTAATGCTCTCCTCGATCTCTATCGCTCCCTTTGCATGTTGTTTCAAAAATCATGCCCTGGCGTATCCCAACAAAATGGTGTAGTAGAACGAAAGAACCGCCATGTTCTAGAAATTACTCGTGCTCTTCTTCTCATGTCATTTGTCCCACCTCGTTTTTGGCCTGAGACGGTCTCCACCACCGTTCGTTTGATCAATTATCAGGTTACTCACATCCTAGAGTAACTACTTCGCCTTAATTTTGTCCCATCCTGATTATAGTAGTCTCTGTGTCTTCGACTGTACTTGTTTTTTTCTCCTCCCTCGTCATGAACGAGATAAGTTGTCATAAAAAACTACTCGTTGTGCCTCCTTAGGGTACAGTTCAGTCCACAAGGGTTACATTTGCTTTGATCCGTTGCTGGATAGGGTGCGTGTGTCTTGTAACGTGGTGTTTTTTGAGCACCTTCCCTTTTTTGAGTTGTAATCAGAGTCCAAATATTTTGCCTCGTCATTGAGTCCCTTGTCCTTTGATAGTATTGATCCGGGTGATTCATTGATACAGAAGATTACCATTCGCCCGACCTATCCCCACCGCAGTCTCCGCAAGCTTCCTGATGACTTGATATATACACATGTTTGTGTCCACCATTCTTATACCGTTTGAGTCTTATTTCTCCTGTTTTAGGCCGATTCCACGCTAGGTTGTTCTTGTTTTTGATATTTCAGGTCCTAGTACGTGAATGAAGGTTTGGGACCGAGTTCGGGGTCGATTGGACGAAGATTGGACGTTTGGCAAGAAGCTGAGGAACCCACACGAGCAATCCTAAAATTCCACACGGTGGTGTGACTTGGCCGTGTGGCACCACTTTTCACGGTCAAATCGTACTGGCCGTGTAATGGACCCCTTGTGGCCGTGTGGGATGTCTAGATAGTTCACACGGCAGACCTAAATTCCACACGACCGTGTGTCCTGGCCGTGTGGTCGGGCAGAGTTGGGGTTTTAACCCAATTTCGTGTCTTTGAAGAGGGAGATCGAGTTTTTGAGCAAACACTGAGCCCTAGAGAGAGAAAGGGCGAAGAACACCGCCTAAGATTGGTTTTGGAGCTGGGTTTATCAATCAAGCTTGGAGATCATCGTAGGAGTGAAGATCATCACCCATAGCAGATTTTTCTCATCTTTATGAGTATGACTACTCTAATTTCTGTTTTCGTCTCTCTCCCTCCCTCTCTCTCTCTCTCTCTCTCTCTCTCTCTATGGAGTAGAAAACTCTCTCACTTGGGTATGAAGAACCCTAGTTCCATGTGTTAGGGATCTTGATTGTAATGATTTGGGATTGTTATACTGATTGATTTTAATCGATTGATGCATGATTCATTGAGGCAATTAAAGCCTGATCATCTTTTCTTGATTTTTGCTGCAACCTGAGATAGATAGAATCTGATTAGGCTGTTAGAGCTTCATCAATCGGTAGTGGTAGATTGATTATACGAGAGTTAATCGATTTACTACTTTGTACTGGAATCCAATTCCAGTAGTGGAGTTCTGTGTTCATAGCCTCAGCTTTCTATCCCGGTGAAGACTAGTCGTCTGCCGGGTGGTTGGACTGAGAGGGCTTGGTCAGCTTAAGAGATTCCAAGATACTGTCGGATCTTTCGCAGTTTAATCAACAGTTAATCAACCCAGGGTAATTACAACTATGACCTAACTAAGGATCTAGGGGGACTCATTCCCGAGTGACTCTTCCCCTGCTAAAGAGCTTTGAACCATTTCCTGCTTTCTTACTGCTTTAGGTTGAAATCCCAATCACTCGACTTAGGTTGCTAGATAATAGATAAACACGGAGTAGGCAGTAGATCTGGACCCCGGGTTGACAAATAGAGCTTGCCCCTTTACTGCATTTCCGGACTGCGATTACACTTGGTCGCAGTTTGGTGTTTTGTTTTAGCGTGCCAAGTTTTTGGCGCTGTTGCCGGGGACCCTAGGTTATTATCGACGTGCAAATCTATTACTTTAGCATTTTCTTTACTGCTTTTCTCTCGCTTCCACCTGTTTGCCCTCACGGGTTGTGTTTGCGGTCTGTGTGCAGGTAGTGCATGACCCGTAGCCAGTCAGGAGATCTATTTCAGTTAGACCAAGAGCTCGAACGGACCTGCAGAAACTTCAAGCGAGCTTTGAAGGCACGACTGGCTGCGGCGGAAGCTTTGGAGCAGCTGCACATACACCAAGAGGAAGACATGGGGGATCCTATTGATAATGCGTTTGTCCCCGATGAGCATACCATGGGGTACTACTAGACCTCCAGAGCCGCGGATATGAGGTCGCCCATTCAGCACCCTCAAGTCCCAACCAACAACTTTGAGGTGAATACCACGGTCATCACTATGTTGCGCGGCTCGGTAGTATTCCGTGGCAAAGAGGGGGAGTACCCCCGATCACATCTGAGGTGATTCCAAGAGCTCATCGATGGGATCAAGATAAATGGGGTCCCAGACGATGCCATCCAGCTGAGGTACTTTCCATTCACTTTAAAGGGGCAGGCCAAGGAGTGGCTGGACACCAGGCCCCCTGGATCGATCACCACCTTCGCCAACCTGGCGGACAAGTTCCTCACCCATTACCATCCTCCGTCGAATACAGTGGACCTGCAGAAGCAGATGGCCCACTTCGTCCAGGATGAAGATGAAACCATTCGGAATGCTTGGGAAAGATACATCAGTCTTTTCCTCAAGTGTCCCAACCATGGTTTTACTCACACCTTTAAGGTGGGCACCTTCTACCATGCCCTCTTCCCAGAAGATAAGCAGCTGATTGACTCAGTTTACGGCGAGAACATGTTGACCAATACACCGCCGCAACTGAATCAACTCTTTGAAGCAGCTGATTAGGGTACTGCTAGGAGGTCGAGGCGAGCACTAGGCCGGGGTGTATATGCTGTGGGCACCCACTCTTTTTCAGGTTGTATCAAACTAGTCTCAGCCATTTATCGTTCTGGGATGGTCCTAGGTACAAGACAGCAGTAGGCAATTCGTTGCCAGTGGTGCGAGAGCTCCCATCATACTGTAGAGGACTGCCCGGCCATGCGTGAGTCCAGTACACCCGAGGAGCAGCTGAACTTCGTCAATAATGTCAGGCATAACGACCCTTACAGTAATAGCTACAATGAGGGATGGCACCATCATCCAAATTTCTCCTGAAGTGGCAACATCAATCCAAAGACACCAGGCTTTCAGGCTCCTGCAACTAATTTTCCAAACCAGAGGCAGCTATACCAGCCTCGCCCGGCCAGATGCAGCAATAGCAGCCACTTTATCATCCTAAACAGGGGCATGCTTTTCAATAGTCCCCACAACAGCGGTACCAGCAGCCTGGTGCATCTCCATCAGTCCCAGCACCGGGTGATCTCGTGTCAGAACTGAGGAATCTAGTGACTACCTTGGCCAGCACTAGTACCCAAAATTTCAATAAATTGGAGCAATTCATGGAAGTGGCTGCAGGAAAATTCATGGAGATTTAAGCTGGCCAGAGAAACCAGCAGACACTCTTGCAGGATATGGACACCAAGATCGGGCACCTGGCAGATGCCCTTGCTTCCAGACCGGCTGTCACACTTCCTGGCCAACCCCTGCCGAATCCCAGAAATCATAAGGAGGGGTTGCACGCCATTATGTTGAGAAGTGGGACTGTGACTGCAGATGCACCGCAAAAGAGTGCCAAGAAGGTGACGCAGATCACCCCAGAGCCGGAAGAAGACCTGGTGATGGAAAAGGAGTCAGAGGCTCAAACTCCAAAGCCACAATCAGTAGTGGCTGAATATAAGCCTAAGCTCCATTTTCCCACCAGGATGTACAAAGACAGGCTAGAGGCGGAGTTCGGCAATTTCTCGTCCATGACTAGGAAACTGAATGTTCAAGTGCCCTTCATGGAGGCACTATCTCAGATGCCTAAGTATGCAAAGTTCCTAAAGGAGCTTCTCTAGAAGATGTGGAGGCTGAGCGAGCTGGCCACTGTGGAGCTCAGCGAGGAGTGCTCGGCCATTCTGCAGAACAAGCTTCCGCAGAAGCAGAAGGACCCATGTAGTTTTACTATCCCGTGCTCTATAGATAATTTGCATGTAGAGAGGTCCTTGGCGGATCTAGGTGCTAGTATCAATGTTATGCCATATAAATTGTTCAAGAAACTAGGCCTAGGTGAACCCAGTGCAACTAGGATGAGTATTCAATTAGCTGACTGATCTATAGTTCATCCTAGGGGCATAGTGGAAGACCTTCTGGTTAAGGTTGGCAGATTCTTTTATCCTCTGGATTTTGTTGTCTTGGACATCAATGAAGACACAGAAGTGCCCCTTATACTGGGAAGGCCTTTCTTGGCCACCTCCAAGGCTCTCATAGATGTACATTATGGGACCTTAGTATTGAGGGATGGCGAGGAGCGAATAACATTCTCCATTGCTAATACTCTCCCTGCTTCAGGCCGTGAACTGTGATCATCCCTTGTATAAAATATGAACTGAAAGGAGGAGAGAGGAGATCCCACTTTGTGAGAGAAACTTTCTTCTACATTCTAGAGAGAGAAACACGAACCAAGAGAAAGAAGAAAGCTAGGGTTTGCTCCAAGGTGGATTTTGAGGAGAATTCTTTCAAGGAAATTCCAACACAAGGATTAAGAAGAGTAGGAGCATCCTTCAAGATGGTTTTCTTCTTTTATCCTTGTGTTTTCCTCACTTCTAGTATGGAGTAGTTTTCCCTTCCACTTGGGTGTTGTGAAACCCTAACTCTACCATGTAGTTTCCTTTATGTTTAATTCAATGGTTGAGGTATTTTTCACTTGATTGTGCATGTTTCTGCTTAGCATCCTTAGGCTTGTGCATGTTTAGTGCTTAGCAACCTAAGGAATGTGCATGTCTATGCTTAGCAATCCAATTAGCCATTTAACCTAGTTTAGAGATGGAAACCTTCCCTTCTAAGGGAGTCTCAGTTGAGTTGTTGTCCCTAGGGCTTTCTAAGCCTTCTACTAGGTTAATTTAGGGCAAACCTTAATATTGAATTGAACAATTTGGTAAAGCACAATTAACCATCCAACCCTTGGGTTGAAGAGAGGCAGTAAGTTTACCTTTGATTGACTAAACCGAGAGGGCGTAGTGACAGCCTATAATGCATGCCTCGGTTTAGCAATCTTGAGTGTGTTCTATGATCACATTTGCGTCCCTTAGTGGTTAGTGTTTGCCTCGCCCAAAGCGATCATTCCGGTTCACGTACCATGGTAGGAGTTAGGGGGAAGCAACACCCGAGTGATCTTCCCACAAAGAGTTTTCAAAACCAAATACCTTAGCCTTAGTTTATTTCGATTAACAAACTTTGGAAACAAAACTTTGATTGCTAGATAGTGAGTCCAACGGTTGAAGTAGGGGTAGACGGACCGACCTAGCTTGATATTTAAACATACTTGTCCTATACTACACTCGGCTAATGTTTGTACTTGGGCCTTAGACGGGAAATCATTGTGGTATTCGGAAGGAGTCAAGTTTTTGGTGCCATTGCTGGGGAAAACGGTCTGTTATCTTGAAAAAGTTGTTGGTTGTTAATCTAGCTTTTACTTTCCAGTTTTTGCAAGAGTGTGTTCTTTGTTTGTGCTAGACTTGGTGTGTTTTCCCGATTGTGTGTATGTGGTGCATGACCCGGAGTAACCCGGCACCTTTACTACCACTCGACGAGGACATAAACCGAACTCTCCGACTCCTAGCACGAGAGAGGGAGATAGCGAAGGCAAGGAGTAGAAGTTAAAGTAGGGGACAACAGTGGGTCCCGGTGTTAGTAGTGAAGAAGTTGGAGTAGTAGAAGCTGAGTTCGTTGTTAGAATAATGTCACCTAAGGAGTGGAGCGCAAGTTTGGAGCATGGGGAAGCAGAGTGTTATCGGATGGACCGCCTTGAAGAAGTGGTGATGTCCTTTGTCGCCTCCATCTCGAAAAAGTTTGAAAGAATTGATAGGTTTTCATTGGGGTGGCGATAGAGAAGTTCTCGGCCATCGAGGCAGGATTGGAGAGACATGAAACTCACCTGATGAACCTAGCCACAAGCATAGGGGTTATCTCACAAGCGTCTAGCATGGCAACGGAGTTCTCCCATTTCATGGAATTGATGGATCTGCTACACTTAAACATTCCTTTTTGGAGGCTGTCACTCAAATGCCTAAGTATGCGAGTACTTGAAAGATCTTCTCACTAACAAGAGGAAGCTCGAAGGGGTGGCCACAGTAAGCTTGAACATGGAGCGCTCCGCCGTCCTGCAGAATCACCTACCTATGAAGCGCAAGGATCCAAGGAGTTTCACTATCCCTTGTTATATTGGTGATTTATGCATAGGAAAGTCCTTGGCGGACCTAGTAGCCAGCATTAATGTGATGCCCTATAGGCTTTTTCAAAAGCTAGAGCTAGGTGAACTCATAGCCACTAGGATGCATATTCAGTTGGACGATAGGTCCGTAGTACTGCCTAAGGGTGTAGTGGAAGATTTGCTTATTAGAGTAGGACATCTTGTCTTTCCTGTGGACTTTGTTATTCTAGATGTTGATGAGAAGGTTGAGGTCCCTCTCATATTGGGTAGACCTTTCCTAGCCACCGCCAAGGCCTTGATTGATGTGCATGGGGGTAGGTTGGTTCTTAGGGCAGAAAAAGACGAGGTCACATTCTATATAGATGATAGCATGAAGTTGTCTAGTTGCCATGACGATTTTGATTACTGCGAGGAGGTGTATGACTTCATGGAGGCACTCTCATATGTCGGTGCCCTTGCATCTGACCCTTTTGAGGAGTGTTATATGGTAGAAACAGACATCCAGAACTCCTCTAAGAATGGTGACCAACCCTCGCAAGACCAAGAACTGGAGGCTTTACCCCCAATGCCAAAAATACCTACCTCTCTAGAGGAACGCCCTGAGTTGGAGTTGAAGCTGCTGCCTCCTCACCTCGAGTATGCCTTTTTTATTGAGGTGTTAAGGCGTCACGAGAGGGCAATAGCATGGAAGATCACAGACATCCGGGGCATTGCGCCGAACTTTTGTTCTCACAAAATCCATCTGGAGGAAGGAGCCAAACCGGTCCGGCAACCGCAGAGGTGAGTAAATCCTAATCCGGAAGAAGTGGTAAAAGCAGAAGTTATCAAGCTACTCGACGTCGGGATTATTTACCCTATCTCGGATAACCAGTGGGTGAGCCCAACCCAGTTTGTCCCTAAGAAGGGAGGAATGACGGTGGTGGCCATTGAAAAGGAAGAGTGATTCGGGCTCAAATGTACACATTTTACCCCTCATATCTTGATCGTTTGGCCTTGCATTTCATCATTCCTCGACATTTTTGACGTTAGGTTGTGTTTGTTTTGATACATTTCAGGTCCTAGCACGTTTGGAAGGGTCAAGGACGAATTTTGGGATAATTGGAGGTCAAAAAGCGCAAAACCGAAGAAAAGTACGAACACCGTGACAATTGCTTCGTAGTAGTGAAGGCGTCCAGAAATTGCCGCAGTTCACGACCAGACAAGGCAGTTCACGGTCTCCTAAGACCATGAACAAGGACCACAAACCGTGAACACTGAGGCGTCCAGCGAGGTTCCAGAAGTTACTGACGATAAGGCAGTTCACGGTCTCTAAGACCGTGAACTGGGGCCATTGACCGTGAACCCATGACAGTGAAGCGGTGCGTTTTGGACGACGCTGAGTTCACGGACGCGTTCAGGTGTTCACGGCCGTGAACTGGCCAACGCGTCCGTGAACTTATCACTTTCGAGCAAATATGAAGACAACAGCGGGGAGAGAGAAAGGGGATCTAGTTTTTGGAGAAGAATTAGTTTCTTTCTATAGGGTTTGCCCAAAAACACAAAATGGGAGTTCTAGTGAGAGAGAGAGAGACAGTGCTAGAGTGATCTTGGAGCATCATTGGAGGTTTGGGTGGAGATTCCAGCCTAGAAGAAGAAGATCTTGACCTCAAATTTGTAATCCATCTCTCTCTCTCTCTCTAGAATCTCACTCTTTTCTCTTGGATGTTGTAAATCCCTAACTAATACTTTGTAATTACTTGCTTATTCAATTAAGTGTGGGTTTGCATCAATTTTAGTATTATAGGTGTTTTCATGGTGATTGTGCATGTTCGTGCTTAGCAACCTAAGGTTTGGGCATAATTGTGCTTAGAAATCTAAGGGTTGTGCATGTTGATGCCTACTATCTAGGTTAGAGACCTTTGACTCAAGTTTGCATCTAGGTTGGTTGTGATTAAGCCGTTCAAACTCCGGTTTGAAGGAGAGGCCTAGGCAACCACTAGCGACTAAGTGAGAGGATCGATCCCGTGGCAAATGGATCTCTAGTGAATCCATCCCGTGACAAATGGATCACTAGGTTCTCCTCCTAGAGGTTCCCCTAGACTTGGTGAGTGGATCGATCCCGTGACAAATCGATCGCTAGTGAATCGATCCTGTGACAAACCAATCACTAGTTGCACACCCTAGCGGTTCACAACCACCCACGCCACACGACTCCATTCAATCCAACCAGTCGTGGTAGCTAGTTAGGGGGAAGCAACTCCTGAGTGAAGCTCCCTTAGTTAGGATTTTCCTTCATTTACTTTTCTCTGCTTGCTTAGTTTGTAGTTTTCTTAGTTGAAAATCCAAAACTGTTTTGCTAGATAACAACTTAAGCGATTGAAGTAAGGGTACATGGACTAGCCCGAGTCGATATTTAAATACTTGTTCTATACTGCAGCCGACTATAGTTTAAAAACTTGGACACTAGTCGGGATTAATTTTTGGTTTAGTTTCATGCGAGTCAAGTTTTTGGTGCTGTTGTCGGGGACCCGCGGTCCATTATTTTGAAAAGGTAGCTTAGTGTTACGAGGAGGACGAGGAGGTTGAAAGGGCGAGCAATGACAACCGTGTGGAGCAAGAAGAACTCACCTCGGAGAGCTCCCGTGGTGAGGATGAACAAGAAGGTTGCATTGATGACACCCATCACTTTCCCCTTCCCGAAAGAAACTTTGAAGACCAAGACACGAGTGTGGAGGAGCAAGAGAACCCTTTCTATGATCTTGCATGGTACCTTGCCCTCTAAACCGTGCTTGAAGACATGCATGCGAAGGAGAAAGAAGAGGTTGAAGAGGAGGAAGCGAGCTTTAAAGAGTTCGATGTGTTCATGGACGACTTCTCAGTGTTCGGAGATTCGTTCTCTCATTGTCTGCCAATTTGGAGAAGTTCCTTGAGCGGTGTGAGGAAACCAAACTTGTTTTGAGTTCGGAGAAATCACATTTCATGGTCCGGGAGGGCATTGTGTTGGGTCACAAGATCTCCAAGTGTGGGATTGAGGTGGACCGTGCCAAAGTTGAGACAATTAGCAAGCTTCCCCCTCCAACCACAGTCAAGGGCATCAGGATTTTCCTTGGGCATGCCAGGTTTTAGCGACGTTTCATTGAAAATTTCTCAAAAATTGCTTTGCCTTTGACCAAGCTTTTGGAGAAGGATGCTCCATTCCTTTTCACAAAGGAATGTTTTGAAGCTTTCAACATCCTTAAAGAGAAGCTCACAAATGCCCCCATAATGGTCTCACCAGATTGGAACCTCCCCTTCGAGCTCATGTGTGATGTTAGTGACTATGTAGTGGGGGCGGTGTTAGGTCAAAGGCGGGTAGACATTTTCAGCATATTTGCTACGCCTCAAAGACGCTGAATGATGCTCAAGAGAATTACACAACCACGGAGAAAGAATTGTTGTCAGTAATCTTCGCCTTCGATAAATTCAGATCTTATCTAGTGCTTTCCAAGGTTGTTGTCTACACCGACCATTCTGCTATCCGCTTCTTGATGAGCAAAGCGGATGCCAAACCCCGACTGATTCGATGGATTCTGCCACTTCAACAGTTCGACGGTGAGATCAAGGACAAAAAGGGGGCTGAAAACCTTGCAGCTAACCACCTCTCACGGCTTGTGGGACCGGGAGGTACCACCTCCTCAAGAGAGATAAATGACACTTTTTCCGATGAACGGTTGCTCGCTCTCGCCGCTGCGAAGAGTATCGCACTGTGGTACGCCGACTTCGCCAATTATTTGGTTTGGAAGCAGCTGCGCAAGGGGATGAACACACATGAAAGGAAAAAGTTCTTCTCCGACCTTCATGCCTACTTTTGGGATGACCCCCACGTTTTTTGAATTGCAAGAAAGGTACTCTAGTCGGGATTCTACTGGCCGAGCCTCTTCCGGGATGCCTACAAATTTGTGTTTCATTGTGACAAATGCCAAAGGACTGGTAATGCTTCTAACCGAAATGAGATGCCCCAAACGAATTCTATCAACTGTGAGATCTTTGATGTTTGGGGCATCGATTTTATGGGACCCTTCCCCTCGTCTTTTGGTAACAAATACATCCCTGTGGCCGTGGACTAAGTAGGAAACCGACCTTAACTGACAAGACGCGTTTTGGGGTGAAATGGAGGAGTTCCTGTGAGAACTTCGAAGTTAAACGTGCTCAGTGTGGACTACAACAAGGATGGGTGACCTTATGAGAAGTCACCTTGAATTGCACCCCAAGTCAAAATCCGTGCGGGTGTAGAGGTCCAAAGTGGACAATATCTTTTCGAGAAAAGGTTCGGGATGTTACAAGTGGTATCAGAGCCTCTCCGCGTCCCTCTTGAACGATGGTGGGGATAACCTCAACGAGGGCGTTGAGTCCCAGGGGGGGGGCTGTATGTAACACCTTAGGCAAATCCCACATCGACAAAGCACGGGAGAGATCCATGGTTCATAAGTAGGAAACTGACCTTAACTGACAAGACGCGTTTTGGGGTGAAATGGAGGAGTTCCTGTGATAACTTCGAAGTTCAACGTGCTCAGTGTGGAGTACAACAAGGATGGGTGACCTTATGAGAAGTCACCTTGAATTGCACCCCAATTCGAAATCCGTGCGGGTGTAGAGGCCCAAAGCCGACAATATCTTTCAGGAAAAGGTTCGGGATGCTACACGGTAACATCACTCTAGCCCTTTTCTTGCGCCATTGAGGGCAATGCTGATATGTTTGCATGATCAAAGTGGCCGGTGTGTGGGAAATTATCATATGTATTGGCATTGATCTTGAATTGTTGCATGTGATCGAGTACATTCTACGATGATGACTGAGAACTTCATTAGGATAGTGCAAAAGTTGAGTTCTCATGTGTGCATAAATGAATGGATATCTTACCTCGATTACTTGTTGTCTACAATTGCCATGCATTGTGTTTGTGAATTGGAATAGATGGTTAGGTGACTAGGTAGCCTTACAAGCTTTGAGCCGATCGTTTTCTTCTTGTGTGCTTAGTTCCTTCTTACCATGGTGTGTAACATCAGAGTTGTAACTAGTAAGTATGATAGAGGCATAGGATTAGTCCACGTCCAAATGTTGATTGTCCCAAAATGTGTCATCCCTTAGTCAACCTCTTTGAGCCTTGTGACTTTGGGGGTCATTCTCAATTTAGGAGCTTCTTGCTTGTGAGCTTAATGGTGTTAATAGAGCGACCCCCACCAATCCTTTCTTTGTGTCAAAACATGAGTCGTCCTTGATTCCTGGAGCTCTCATTTTTGAGTTCCATCGAGGTTCTACATAGGAGGATTGTGTGCACTTCTTGCTAGGAATGAAAAATGAAATGTAGTGTTGGAGTGAGTTCTTCAAATAGAGAGAATTGGTTGTTAAATGTATAGGTGGCAAGTGTTTTTACTCTCTAGTACCCCCCTCAAAAAGAAAAAAAAAGAGAAAGGAAAGAAAAGAAAAGAGAAAAGAAAAAGAGGTAATAAAACGGGGTAAATAAAGTAGAGAGTGCCACAAAAAAACCAAAGTATGTGCCACCACCCTAAAAGCCGTTTCCCCTTGTCCAAGACAATTGCCAGTCATCTAAACCCGTGTCTAAGACCTCCGGATATGGTAGTGATGACAACCATTCCGTGAACTCTAGCATTTAGAGGTTGCCGCCGTGGTGTTGAGACGATAGGGCTGGGAGTTAATGATTGTGCACATCTTTTGGCACCAAAAAGGTCCCCACCCCACTGGTCTTAAGAGTGAGTGATTCATTCTTGCTTTGCATGTCATCAAAAATCCCGGTGAGGACCTTGGTTGCCTTCCCGTTTGTTCCTTGGACTTGAATTCCATGCATGGTTAGTTGTGGTTGATAAGTGGTCTCGTTGAGACTTGCATTGATCCATGAATAAGGTGAGAACTTTTCGTTTGCCCATTTTTTGGTGGCTTCGAATGTTGTTTGTGGTGGATGTCAGTATTACTTGCAACGGTCCATGTGTTAATTGCCAATAGCCACTTGAGAATTCGCACTTTGTGCCCTTTGAGTTGTCCCCAAAGTATTTGTGTAGGTTGAAATATTACCGTGTGTGAAATGGTTTGCTTGCTGACCGTGAATCGCAAGGTGTCCCGAACATTTCAAGAAGTTACTGACGCAAGGTGTGTTCACGGTCACTAAGACCGTAAACGAAGGCCGTTGACAGTGAATGGGCGTGATCTAAGCTGCGCGTTTTGGAGGCGGACGAGGAGGTTTCCTTTATGTGAATTTGAATGATTGCCATTGGGTATTGTTTAATTCAATGGTTGAGGTATTTTTCATTTGATTGTGCATGTTTATGCTTAGCAACCTTAGGCTTGTGCATGTTTAGTGCTTAGCAACCTAAGGAATGTGCATGTCTATGCTTAGCAATCCAATTAATCAATTAACCTAGTTTAGAGAGGGAAAACTCGCCTTCTAAGGGAGTCTCAATTGAGTTGGTGTCCCTAGGGCTTTCTAAGCCTTCTACTATGTTAATTTAGGGAAAACCTTAATATTGAATTGAATAATTTGGTAAGCACAATTAACCATCAAATCCTTGGGTTGAAGAGAGGGAGTAAGTCGACCTTTGATTGGCTAAACTGAGAGGGCATAGTGACAACGTATAATGCATTCCTCGGTTTAGCAATCTCGAGCGTGGTCTATTATCACATTTGCGTCCCTTAGTGGTTAGTGTTTGTGATAACTCGATATTTGCACATGTTTTCCCCTTTGTTTCGTGATCATTTAAGCTTTCATTATCGCTTCTTTGGCCTATTTTACGCTAGGTTTTGTTCCTTTGTCACATTTCAGGTCCTAGCACATAAAGTGAAGCGTAGGCGCAAGTTTCAAGTCAATCGGAGATCAATTGGCGACTTGGGGGAAGAAACTCGGGTATGACTTGAAGAAGAATGGATTTATACCTCCTTTTGTGAATATAGAATCATGTAATCTTGTCATGATAAGAAAGAGGACGAGACAACAAGCATTTGGTATCAAACGACACCTGATTTGGAACGAGGGAGAAACGAAGAATCAAAGATAGGGGACCCGAAATTGAAAAATACCCGCCCAGTAGGTTAAAAATACCAGACCTGGTATTTTGGTCATCTGATAGGGGATTTTTGGAAGCATCAGAAGCCCCCCGGTCGTGAACCAACAATACCCGGCCGGGTACCCAAAATACTCAACCGGGTCGCGAACGCAGGCTGTTAAAAGCATGTTTTGTGTGTTTTTGGAGGGGGAGCTGGGTTTTGGATCCCAAACACCCAAGGGATGAACCAAAGAGAGATAGGGAGATTTGAGGGCATTCTTGGAGTGGAATTGGAGGATTTCTTTGCCTTGGAAGCTCAAGGAACAATCCCGGACTTGAAGACTGATCATCTGAAGATTCTTACTGCAGTCTTCTCTTCTCTATGGAGTAACTTCCCTTCACTTAGGTTTTGAGGAACCCTAGCTATGTTTGTTTGAATGGATGATTATATGAGTACTCTTACTTGATAATCTTGAGTTCATATTCAATCTATGCATGTTTTCATGATTCAATTATGCTTTAGTCGAGATTACTGATTCTGCTTTGATCCTATGAGAGCGAATACCTGATTAGGTCAATAGAGCACCATAGATTGATAGTATTGGATTGATTGCTTTAGTCAAGGGTCGATTCACTACTTTGATCTGGTAATGCACCGCCTGCCCCGTCCACCATCATTCACCCT